CATGAAGAATCTGGCCTCTGTCTTCAGTGATGAAACAGTGGCCTATGACCTCAGGTAAGACACAAGTCATTTTAGCATTAGTGAGTGTTGTTGCATGGAACCATCACAGAGAGGCACAAAATAACTTTCTTGAGCCTTTACTGTCACTGATCCTCACTGGTAGAATGATCTTCCCTACCTTCCCAAACAGTAAAATTCCTTTAAATGTTTCAAGCACTTGACAGAATCTTTTTTAAACTGCTTGATCTCTTGATCTTTCTAGTAATGTATGCATTTTATTTTTAAATCTTGAATCGTTTCCTATTCTTTCACTGTTTATTCTTTTCATCTCATTTCTAGACTGCACTCTGAACAGTTTTGAACTTTTATATTTCAGCAATTATTCTGTTATTGCCTCCATAGGATGAATTAAATTTTATGTTCCTCATTTCTAATTACCTTTGGATGAAAGTTTCTGATAAAGCAATAAATGTAACTCTAAGGTGCATACATTCTATTCAGCATATGTAGTGCTCCAAAATGCTTTTTTGTTTGTCTTTTGTCAGTATCAGCAGTAGTGAGAGGCAGAGATCAGAGTCTCCAGAACCCAGCTGTGTGTCTGTGAAAAGTAACGCATCCATGATGGAACCCCTTAAATTCAGTGATGGACCAGGGACCTCTAACCCTCCGTCAGTATAAACATTTGTGACCCTCTCTGTGAAATCCAGGCTAAAGTCTCAAAATCTAATTATGAGATAACAAGCATCAAAGTTTGATTTCAACCATTAATTTCCTTATGATTTCAATCTTTGACATGGTCTTACTCAGTCAGTAATAAAGATATCAATATTACATTTTCACAGAATGTTCTTTACCTTATGAAGGATGATTTTATATAGAAAACAGTAAATCACCAAAAAATTACTTTAGCTGGGTTTTCACAGACAGGGACACATTTACTTGCTACTTTACTGTAAGGTGCATTCATTTTATTCAGCATATGTAGTGCTCCAAAATGCTTTTTTGTTTGTCTTTTGTCAGTATCAGCAGTAGTGAGAGGCAGAGATCAGAGTCTCCAGAACCCAGCTGTGTGTCTGTGAAAAGTAACGCATCCATGATGGAACCCCTTAAATTCAGTGATGGACCAGGGACCTCTAACCCTCCGTCAGTGTAAACATCTGTGACCCTCTCTGTGAAATCCAGGCTAAAGTCTCAAAATCTAATTATGAGATAACAAGCATCAAAGTTTGATTTCAACCATTAATTTCCCTATGATTTCAATCTTTGACATGGTCTTACTCAGTCAATAATAAAGATTTCAATATTAAATTTTCACAGAATGTTCTTTACCTTATGAAGGATGATTTTATATAGAGAACAGTAAATCACCAAAAAATTACTTTAGCTGGGTTTTCACAGACAGGGTCACATTTACTTGGTAATTTACTGTAGTGTATCACAAATTAATAATACTTTAAGAAACTTTAATGAAACAACACTAAATGTATTCCAAAATATGCAACATACTAAACAGAAGTGCCTCCCAAAATCAAAGTCATATCTGGTAACTGTATGTTTTATGAAGGTCTTCAATAGTCATTGTAATAACTGTCATTGTCTTTTTGCTGCTATTGTCTTTTCTATTTCAGCAGGGGAGAGATATATGATCTGAACAAATCTTTACCATACTCTGCATCCCACTATCAGCACCATATCAGAATGAATAAAAATGTTTCTTACCTTCTGACCAACAAAAAAACAATTCATAAAACACACGGTCTGTTGGAAGAGACTGAAGCCCTGATACAGGATTCTCACCAATCAGTAGATGATGTCCTTCAGAGATTCAAAGACCAGCACAAAACCAGCATGGAAAACAAGCATGAGAGATTATCTGAGGGAAACAAACAGGAGAATGTAACCCTCCTGAACAGGATCTATACGCAGCTCTACATCATAGAGGGAGAGAGTGAAAGAGTGAATGAAGAACATGAGGTTTTACAGATGGACAAAACATCCGGAACACAACACTCACAAGACACTTCAATCTACTGCAGTGACATCTTTAAAGCTTCACCTGAGCCAGGATGTGAGGAGAAAGACCAGATCAAGACTGTTCTTACTAAAGGCATCGCTGGAATCGGAAAAACCGTCTCTGTGAAGAAGTTCATTCTGGACTGGGCCGAGGGAAAAGCCAAATCAGGATGTAGATTTCATGTTTGTGCTTCCATTTCGAGAGCTGAACTTGATCCGAGATCATCAGTACAGTCTTCACAGACTTCTGCTGGACTTTCAAACACATTAAATCTCTGAAGATCTCAGCAGAGGATGTTTGAACAACTCCACAAGCAGCATCACCAGCTTCACTTACTATTAACCAGACTGACTTTATTTCTGTCAGCCATCTAGAGAAGCTCTTATTGAGAATTAATAGAGGTTTAGATGTTGATATTTGTTTCATTTGAAGTCACCATTGTGGTGGGCAGTGTTTGCTTTAGTTGGGATCTTGGTCCCTGTACTTCTTGTATTAGCTTTTCTTCAGCTGCTGTAGCTGTGTTTGGAAAGCACAGTTCTTGTGACAGAGCAAGCCAAAAGCAGGTACTATCTCCCTATCTTGTTGGTGATGATGATGATGAAGTCATAACAAAATGAGCATTTAATAATTTTAAAATCTCATCAGTAGTTGTAACAGTGTTTTGTTTATCTTTGGTATTTATAGTCACCAATCTTGTAAAACAGCAATATATGCACTAAAAGCATTAAAACAATCACACATCCTGAAGACAGACATCAATATTTTGCATATGAATCACAACAACGGTGACAATCAAAACAAAAAAGCTTCATGTTGCGCAATGCATGATGGGTGGCTTCATCGTACAAAACTTGATTATTCCTTAATTCCACATCCTGGATTCCCAAGCTTTTTTGGTTTTGATTGTAACCACTGTGGTGATTCATATGCAAAATCTTGATGTCTGTCTTCAGGATGTGTGATCATTTTAATGCTTTTAGTGCCGATACTGCAGTTTTACAAGGTTGGTGGCTATAAATGCCGAAGATGAACAAAATTATAAACAAAACACCATTACAGCTACTGATGAGATTTTAAAATTGTCAAATGCTCATTTTGTTATGACTTCATCATCACCAACAAGATAGGAAATTAGTACCTGGTCTTGGTCTGCTCTATCACAAGAACTGTGCATTCTAGACACAGTTACAGCAGCTGAAGAAAAGCTAACATAAGAAGTACAGGGACCAAGATCCCAACTAAAGCAAACACTGCCCACCACAATGGTGACTTCAAATGAAACAAATATCAACATCTAAACCTCTATTAATTCTCAATAAGAGCTTCTCTAGATGGCTGACAGAAATAAAGCCAGTCTGGTTAGTAATAAGTGAAGCTGGTGATGCTGCTTGTTGTTTAAACATCCTCTGCTGAGATCTTCAGAGATTTAATGTGTTTTATTTCAGTTGATTTTACCAAATGCTTATTTGATCATTTAATTTGATCATTCATCTCGTGAACTTCAACACTACTTTCGTGTTTCTTTTAACATTGTGTGCAGTGTTCACTGAGGATTTTGCTGTGTATGTTGTACATTTCAGCATATATCCAAACAGAGTTTTGTACCTGTAAATGTTTTTTTATTAGTTTATTTTATATACATAAAATCATGAAAACGTTTCAGTTTTTTTATGTATTATTATTGCACAAGTGTCTGTATGTAATGTCTGTGGCTAAGCACAGCATAAGTGGCTCAGTGGGAAATGCTGTCTCCTTTGTTTGGCCCAGAGCTGGGCCAGAAGACAATTGCTATGTGGGCACTTCAGGGGGTGGTCTGGGCCGCATTCCAGAAGAAACTGGACAAGTGTAAATGCATCTGGTTGTTGAAACCACATATGTAAATTTTACTCTTCCCAAAATGTTAAAATAATAAAGTGTGAGAGCGTGTTATAGGCTATATGACATTAGTCAGACTGCGCTAACGCAACACGCATCGCTGCGGACAAGTAGCTGAGTATCTCTTCAGCAAGCCGACGTGCAAACTGCCACGAATGAAACTAAAAGTAAGACGCAGACGGTCAACACACAATCATCTTCATTAAAAGTAGTAAGACAAACTTATCTTTCCAGTGC